TTTTGCATATCAGCAACTCTCTCTCAGTATCCTAGAAACACATCTAGAGGGAAGCTAATTCTGAAGCCGCCCTCTTGGCTAGGGAGGCCGCCTCAAACGGTCCCACGGCAGGGTCGCCTACCACTTTTTGGGGCCCTTGTGGGTTTTTGTATAGAGCACCCAATTTCAGCTCAGCCTATTTTTTGTATCTTACTTCTTCTTGTAACCCTTTTATTTTATACATAATACGGTTAACAATTTAAAAAAAAACATAAAATAAATATGGGAAGACCCATCAAAGATGAATTATTTAACATTTTATCATCATCATCATCATCATGACACCCTTTTCCCAACTAATTGGGGTCGATTACACAAATCTTGGTCCGTCATTTTGCTCGATCAAGGGCCATACCCGTAGTGAGGTTATAAATCCTTTTATATTTTCTCACTACTTCCAACCATGCCCTTTAAGGCCTACCCATTGCCCTTTTTGAGCCTTCTACTTGAACCAACTCGCACCTCCTAATAAGTGTTGTACTGGGCCTGTGCTGCACATGACCAGCCCACCTAAGTCTACTTTCTCTCATCTTATTGCCTATTGGTGCCACACCTAATTATCTCAATTGTATTCATGTCGTTATTTAACAGTTTACCCATATTGTTTAATTTAATTTCAAAATGCCTATCAAGAAACATGTGATCATGAGTTGGAATGGTTGCAAATGTGTAAAATGCTTAATAATGTATTTCTCTTGTGTATTTTGATAGATTTCCGAAAAGTAAATGAAATTAAAAATAAAAATAAAATTTGTAAAAGTAAAAAATTTACTTTATGCAAGAACAATACAATATGTATATTTTAAAATGATGTTTAAATTATTGTATAAATAATATTTGCGTTTGTATGTGTGAAACATCATTGTGTTATTAATAACGTGGTCCTTATCCCTTTTGTTGTTACTAAAATTGGTCCGGGGTTCAAAACCCATGAATGAAATAACATTTTGAGTACATAGTGATACTCCATGTCTGGATTTCAGACACGCGTTATAAACTTGTCAACTCGCTATGTCACTACCATAACTTTCCTGACACACTGACAGAATATTGGTTGTGTGTCTAGGTATGTCAACATGTGTCAACATACGACACGAGGGTAAAAATGGATTGTCTTCTGTAACACTCAGTATAATCCTACGGGGTAGGGTGTACCTTACTCCAAGGGCATCAACCGTCCATTCTTGCTATAGATTTCTGAGACTGAAATAAATAGGGGCGGATTGGACATTAACCCAGGTGCAAGTAATCTACATCCGTTGTTATCGGTAATGTCTAGGGATGACCCTTTGGAGTTGTACACTGTTTGAAGCATTGTTTGAATTTCCTTTTTGACATCCATGTGGGATGCGCACAATGTGATAAACTCATGAAGAACAAAAATGATTGTCTTCGGTGCGTGGAGCGTTTGTCTGATGTGATAATAGACTTCTTTATAATGGTACTACTATTGTCATGCATGTGTGGCTTAGGCATAGACATGCTGATCAAGTAGTTAACAACATGGCCAGCTTTCGAGTAGTTTTACGATAAATGTCTAGTGTTGTTTGTCTTGTTATAGCCTTTCAATCTTTGTTAGTACTGTTGTTTATAATATGGTAGTGCATTAGCCACAAAAAACTAAGACATTTTCTTGTTGGATATAGTGGTATAAAGAACTCAATAGTCCTATTGTCTAGCCATTAGCTACTTAGTGTCTTTTAGATTGGTTAAGGATGAGTCTGAAAGTTCTTGTTTTATGATTGAAAGATATTCCATATATTCTACTTACTTTTAAATATGAATGTAATTTATTGAAAGACTTTCGAGAGTTTTGATTCACATGATTCATTTTCCTTGAATTTTCTGCCATTTCTGTCCTTGTAGGCATTTATGGAGATATTGCAGGACCGAAACATGAGCATTGGTCATCCTTAGCACCCCTTCCTCTTGAAGTTGTCATCTCTGCTGGACAGAAAGCGAAAGAAGAGTCATGGAATCGAGGCTAGTTTTTAAAAATTGGTGTTTTATTATACTATTATAATAATTGCAAAATTTGCTAAAGAAGATTTTTGGAATTAATCATGGGAAATTTTTGACTGGAATAACATTAATCATTTTGATTTGATGTGGTTGTAGTTTTTATTTAGGGAATTTGGGACATTGCATGTTGAATTTTTTTGCTTACCATATTGAACAGGCAATGATGATCCAGAGAGAAGGGATAAACTTGCACGAGATTTGAGCGATTTAGCTGGAGAAGGGAATATTGAGAGCATGCTCTCTGTTGAAAAGGGTTTACGTGAGCTTGCATCTTTGAAGGTATCACTCTATATCAACATTTTGAACTTGAGCTGTAATTTGGTCTATTTTGTTGGCTTGTTATTTTTGTTTTCTTGCTTTTGATCTGCTCATAATCTGTTGATAAGGAGTAAGTTTGCATAACATTTAAGTCTTTCATAACATTTGAGTCTTGTTTTAGAGGTTGACCTAAAAGCTTTTCATCCATTGTAAAATATAATTCATTCATTGTAACATACTTTCTAGGTGAGGATGTTGAGATGGATGAGTGACAAGACAAGAAAAGATAGAATTCGGAATGAATACATAAGAGAGAACTTAAGGGTGGCTCCAATAGGCGATAAGATGAGGGAAGTAGACTTAAGTGGGCTGGCCATGTATAGTATTGACCTAGAACAACACAAGTTAGGATGTGCGATTTGATTCAAGTGGAAGGCTCTAAAAGAGAAAGGGAAAGGTCCAAAAGGACATCTAGGAAGTAATGAGAAAAGATATGGCGACTTATGGTCTAATTGAGGGTATGACCTTTGATTGAGCGGAATGGTGGAACAAGATTCATGTAGCCAACGCCAAATAGTTGGGATAAAGTTCAAATGATGATGATGATGATGATGTATATGGTATCTTTGTGTTACTCATGATGATGTAGTTCTCAAAGATTCTCTTTTCACTAGTTTGAGGTTCTATAATAATTATGTAGGGCTTCTATTGGAATTTTTCCTTTTTTCTTGTGAAATGTGGATTATTGTGATATTTTATGCTATGCCTTGATATTTATTCCTGTAACATGTCATAGGGTAAGTGCAACTTGATGTGTACTTCTTTAAACACCTAATGAACTATAAAAAGGAAATTGTCATTAGATGGAAGGAAATGGACCTTCTACCATGTTTAGTTGAAGAAGTTGTAACAAGAGTTTTATTAAAAAAAATGTAAACATCGATATGTTGTTTGAAGGAATCTAGATGGGACATTTGATACGCCTGTTTTAGGTTGGAGTTGGTATAGGTAAAGACCTTGGCAGGTAGTTGGGTGAAATAGTTGTGTTGAGATGGGGGCCAAAAGTACTTTAGTAGCAATTAGGATTTTCTCATTCATTTTTACGGGCCCTTATGGATTGTGCTTATGTGTGCATGTTTGTGCTGTGTGCGTGTGCACGTACATGTGTGCATTGTGTGCATGTATGCAAGCTCATGTGCATGCATGTATGTGCATGTGTGCATGCATGCACAACTTTGCTACAACTTCAAAACCCAACTAGTTTATTTGGCTTATTTTTCATAGGGGAACCTCCTACATGATACTCAAAGTTTTGTTGCGGATTTGCCAAAAATCTTTGCCGCATGTTACACTCATGCGCTTTTGCATTCTTTTTTTGAAACTGTTTACTGTAGTATTAAGAGAAAAAGATTGAGTGCAATGGGTAGGCAGAGGTGGCCCACAAGCTAGGCCACTTGCCCCAAAAAAGAATTAGAGTTTCCCGGAAGGGTACTCCTATACAAAAAGAGGTCTGGCGTTGTACAGAAAAGAAGCCAACCTTGATAAGTAGAATAAAAACCAAGAACTGGCCACAACAATTGGCCCTTACAAAAAGATGAAGATAGACTAAAATAGAAATCAATCACTCATAGGTCCGAGATATTAGTTGTCGCTCCATCTTTAGCTAGATGTACTGTTTCAAAAAGTACTAGGCGGCCTGGGGAGTCCAGGCCGCCTAGCGCCTAGGCGGGCGCCCAGAACTTGGGCGGCCCTGTAGAAACAAACAAGGATTCTATAGTCTCTAACAATATAAGTATAACGGTATAGTGTATAAAATATAAGAATTATGTATTTAGGACACATTAAAATTCAAAAGTATACTACACATTAGCACACTCCATAAGCATAACCATACGTCGGTCTATGTCTAATTAAAATTTAAAATTTAAAATTTACCAACCAAATTACCAAAACGAAGTTACCAAATACCAAACCAGTGGAACTATAAATCTATTATCCACCATACTATCAATACACAACCAAGAGGAAGAAAACAAAAATGAAAGTAATACTTGAAGACTCAAAAGAATCTTCAACCATTGTTTAAAGTTTAATCATCATTTATCATTCATCATCAGAAAAAAGTAGAGTCAGCTACATTTGCATCATATGCATCGGAGTTGTCACCCTCCTTGACATATTGTTCGTCCTCTTTTGTTTCTTCTGAATCTCCCTCTTCTTCATCCTCTTCCTCCACCCTCGTCCTCTGTGCAGAAGATCTAGTGGCCTTAGGAGGGTCGACTGATGTCCCTGAAGCATCCATGACCATGTCCCATGTCAATCCTTCATGCCCCTCGACCTTATCATCATCAACCAACCACTCCATAACATTGTCTATATTTTTTTATCTGAGGGGGTCACTCTTACCTCTCTTAGCAAACCTATTCCTCAAGAATCGATGAATCTTGACATAGACTAGGTCATTGAGCCTCTTTGATTCAAACCTGTTCTTTTTCTTTGTATGAATCTAACAAAATCAAATGAAACTAATTAATATGAATATTAAATAATTAAAATTATTAAATATATTAATAATAGTAATACTACAAAACTAATAACTACTAAAGTACTAAATTATTAATACAAACTATCCTTCCCCTTCAAAAGTAGTCCAATTGCGCTCACAGCCGGACGAGTAAGTAGTTAGGTTTAAGATCCGAATGACCAACTTTTGTAAATTTGGAGAACTACACCCATGTTGCCTCCACGAATTGGCTGCAAAGATATAGAATAAATAATAAATAAATAATAGAATTATAGAAATGAAACTTGATAACTTGAAGTTGAACAGTTGAACTTAAGTTAAGAATATTATTACCTTGATCAATCTTGGTTTTTTGCCTCATCGCCATTAGACTCCCAAAAGACTTTAACGAGCACTTGTAATTTATTAGCTCCTCAACACATATAATATTCTGGATATCCGGATCATGGACTAGCACATCTACACACTTATTAAATCCAGTCATAATTGTATCATTTGTGTGCATATCTTTATCAACATAAAAAAAAGTTGGGTTCAAATAATAACCAGCTGCATGCAATGGCAGATGTAGCTGCCTATCTCACTTCTTATTAATAATCTGTCAAACAGGCTTATAGCTGCCTGTCGCTCTCTTGCATTTCTCCATAGCCTCATATATGTAGCCCATAGAAGCCTTGTCACTATCAACTATGCGAAAGACTTGGACAAGAGGAAAAAATACTTTAAGAGCGCCCTTCATCCCTCGCCAAAAAGCCTTAGAAAGGATAATATATTTTACTTTCTTCCCAACCTGATCCTTGGACCACTTTCATATTCTTCAGTCATCTGAGATAAACATCTGCCTCAACTGCACTCTTATCGAATGTATGCTATCTAGGCATAAGTATCAGGTCGTAAATCTCGTGACCTCAGGCCTCACAATCTTTTTCTTATTTGTAAATCTACGCATCATGCTGAGGGTGAGATGGTGGCTATAAATGAAATTCGTAACTGACTTTGCCGTCTTCACTGCACCTGATATCTTGGTTAAATTGCCAAGAGCGTCAAACATGAGGATTATACAATGTGCTGAACATGGTGTCCAAAAGATTCTAGGGTACGCTATGCGCAATAAATTAGCAGCATCAACATTAGAAGCAGCATTGCCAGTGACAACCTATACAGCAAGCTGCTCCCCAACCTCCTTGATTCCCTTCTCTATAACTTGGAATATGTAATGGGCATCATGGCTATAATTAGAAGCATCAATAGACCTAAAAAAGACTGCCCTTAAAGTACAATTCACAAGAAAATTTATCTTTCTTTTCTTCCGATCATTCCAAGCATCAGTCATAATAGAAACTTTATGCTGAGCCCATGCATCCTTCTTAACTTCAATAGCATCCTTCGTGACACTCACCGCTTTTTTGAAAAGAGGTTGTGAAAGCTCATGTAGGGGTTTGGGGGTTTCATCTCAGGCTGAAATTGGCCAATTGCCGCTAACAAGGCGTAGAAGCTGCTTAGGCGAGCGGTATTGAACGGAATTCTCGCCTCATAAAACCATGTAGCAATATAAAAAGTCGCTCTATCTCTCTTTTCCTTCTTCATTCTATTTTCAATGGTGGTTTGCTTCTTTGTTTTCTCTCCTGCAACCTCAGGGTCAGGCCAGGGCAAAAAGCTATCCCTAGGGCCTATAACCCGAGACTTCTTACTCCCAAAATCAGAAGCAATTACAACTCGCTTTGCCGTCCCACTAATAATGGATTGTCCTACCTCTTGACATCCCTCCCCGTCCTCATCACTATCATCATCATCATAACTGACCCGAACCTCGGACCTAATCTCTGCTATGGAGGCAAATTTTTCATCTTTTTTCATTTTTGCAAGACTCAGAAAGTTGGTTATTTCCTCTTTAACAACATCGAGAGTTTTTTTACATGGGGCAACATCCCCCTTGATACCGGCAAGATGTTTCTTGAACCGGTTTATGCCCCTTTTTGTATCATTTTTACAAAACTTGCATCTTATGCAATTTTTATCATTAGGAGCTTGGTTGTAGCCATATTTCCAACCTGGATAACCACTCCTTAGATCTTGAAGAACATATCTCCAAATAATACAAACTTAAACTAGCAATAAAATAAAATCACTTACTTTGATTGCTCAATCTTAAGGACTCAAAGTTTTCTAAAACACCCTTTAATATATGGGTGCGATTTCTATAAGGTTGCAACCTTAAACAATCCAATTAAGGCGCACCTCCAAATTTTATCATAACATGTAATTTTGTTGTAAATTTTTTTAGTATTATCTTAAAATCTATTTTCATATCTAATTAGAAAATTTTAAACTCCAAAAATGGTTAACATCAAGGAGATCTATAAGCATATGAAAATCTTGAAAATGGACGGTCTAGATAATGTGTTGCAAGATGCACTGAGACTCAAAAACTTTTTTGTTTTTTTTAATTCATACATCTCAATGCCGAGATGATTAATGGTGGATTTTTCAACGTTAAAACAACGTTTCCGATAGATTTTTGAGGTGCATCTGTAATTCTACATTTTAAGGTTGCAACCTTATATAAACTTTTCCGTTGATATATTTATAAAACATCAAAAATTAAATCTAATATCAATGGGTGATGTTTTTATCAACTTCTCATAACTTTGAGAACCCTTCGATCCTAAAGAAATCATCAAAAATTAGTTTTTTGGGGTTTTTCTCTCTAAAATGGGCTCTAATATGTTATAGGTTTCAAATAAACCTAAAAACAACAAATTTGGCCCCTTAGTAAAAACAAAATGGACAAAAAATGCCCCTACTGAATGTGTTTTCAGCCTTTGAGTAGGGCGTAGTCCCTGAGCAGCCACCCAGAGCTGGGCGCCTAGGTGGGTGCCTAGAGATTTTCGCCTTTTTCTGGTGTGTAGCCCTGGGCGATGCACCCAGCCCCCCTGGACCGCTTAGGCGGCCACCCAGGCGCTGGGTGGTCCGCTTTTTGAAACACTGGCTAGATGATCCACCATGTTGTTGGATTCCCTTCAGATATACTTCCATGAGATGGCAATATCCCTGCAAACACGAGAAATCTCATCAAAGATTGAAGCTAGGTACCAGGGAGGGGGGTCGGAGCCTGCAACTCAGGATATGATGTTTTTTGCATCTCCTTCGACTAAGAGTGGTTGGGGCCAAGAGGGGTTGAAAAGCTTGAGATGGACTCTGCCATTTGGGAGTTTGCGTGACCAATGTTTTCGGAGTAGCAGGCTAGAATAGTGCCGAGGTGGTTGCGGAAGACGCCACCTACTCCGGCAGGACTTTGGTTGCCCAATGAGCACCTGTGAAATTAAGCTTGGTGTGGCCCTCTGGGGGAGTGGACCAATTGCTCGGTCTATGCACCCTAGGCGACTGGGATAGTAAGATTTCCTTCCACTGGTATATGAAAGAGGAGGCTGGAAGTCCTTTGAAGGCCTTGTGATTGGAAGCCCAGAAGGCTAGATTAGAGGTGATTTTGCGAAATAAACCAGGAGCATCACATTTGCTTCCTTTAAAAATCCTTGAGTTTCTCTCCGTCCAAATTACCCAAATGGTGGCTGTATGAGAGATCTCGTTTCTGACGAAGAGAGTCCCACCCCGATCATGGTGGACTTTTCCATGTTCCCCTTGAAGTCCATTGCAAACTCGATGCATTTGAGAAACATGCTCAGGGTTGCTACCTCCTAGGGCTCGGCATTGAGGAACACAAGGGTGTCATCAGCATGCTGGAGGTGGGTGACGACAGGGCCCCTTGCACTGCTCTTAAAGCCCGTAGGCCTTCCAGATTGGTACATGCGGGTGATAGATTGGCTGAAGACCTCAGCAGCTATAGGCAAAGAGAAAGGGAGAGAGGGGGTCTCCTTGACGGAGCCCTCTTGAAGAAGGGAAGTAACCTTTGGGCATACCATTGATCAACACTGAGAAGAAGGGTCTGGAGCAGCAACGTCGCATCCACTTTCTCCAACGCTCCCTGAAGCCCATCCGGGCCATAGTTTCTTCTAGGATGGCCCAATTGACATGATCGTAGGCCTTCTCCCTGTCGATCTTAAAGATAAGGCCCAGATCCCTTGCCAAGTGTCTGGTGTGAAGGCGTTGTCACTTTTCTCATTGAGAGCGTCGGTTGATCTGATTATTTTAGGAAGCTTGGTAGGGTATCTGACATGAATTGTAGTATCGAGCATTGAAAATGATGTTATTCTCATTAATCGAGGAATAGTTTCATTACATCTGTCAGAAAGCTAACATTTAGCACCATAGGGAGCTGTGTTTCTTCCTATGTTGTCTCACCTTGGGCCATAATATGACATTTATAGGCCTTGGCATTTTATTCAAAATTCTATATGAGCAATCCTATATTTATTAAATTCCATTATTGCTAGTTATTACCTGAAAATGAAAATCTGCAAATTTGATCAGACTATTACAATTGTAGCTACAATTTGAGTTTACTTTAGTATGACGAATATTGATTATTAAATGATATTTGTGTAGTATTTACATTTAAGAAAGCACCATTCTTTATAGTGCTCTAGTTTTGCTTGAGTTACAAATATTTTTTCTTCAAGGTTTTTATTTCTAAAAGCCACTAAATTTTTCTGTTCATAGTTCCATTTAGTGTTGGCAAAGAGTTCTCTCATGTTATGTTGTAATGCTGTTTGATTTAAGGTTGAGGATGCTGTTGCATTTGCTATGGCTCAACATCGGCGTCCAAATGTTGTCCGGGTTGGCTCAGCTTCAGGTTTAGTCTTGCTGTCAATGTTTGGCACTTTCATCCTCTTTTAACTGTTGGGTCAAGGAACTTTTATTTGTTTTACATTTTTCAAACATGATGCTATAGGGGCTCAAATTGCAGTATTCTAGTACACAATAAGATGTTTGCGAAATGGAGTGTAAGAATGCAATATCACGGGTCTAAAGTCGTTTCTCATTAACTGAAAATCATGATGAATTCCTTATGTATAATAAATGTATGCAATTGATTGAAATATTCACAGGAATCTTCAGATACAATATTTACAATTTTCTTTTGGAAATCGATAAAATGCTAGAATAAGATGTGCATGACATTTTGCACTGGGCAAAGCTAGGTATTGATTGCCAGTGCCACACTCTGGAGTGTATGAAATGACGTCCCATCGTCTCCATTATGCTGTAGTGTGTACTTCCTATAATTTTGTTCTTTGTATTCTTCTTCTATGTGACCTTGATCACCTATAACTTTGTTCTTTGTATTCTTCTTATATGTGACCTTGATCACCTATAACTTTGTTCTTTGTATTCTTATTAGGGTGCGGTTTGTATAGAACCTAGGCGGTTTGTATAGAACCTAGGCTCTGAACAATCAAATTAGAGCCTACCTTCAATTAGTGTCAAGAAATGTAGGTTCAATACTGAAAATATTTGTGATAGCCTTAAAATATATTTTCATCTTTATTTATTAAGTTTAAAGCTTAAAAAATAGTGTAGATCGATAGATCTATGAAAAACTGAAAATCTTGAAAATTGACTGTCCAAAAATGCATTACAAAATACACTATTTTCAAAACTTGAAATCCATTTTTTTCTCATGTCCATGCATCTTGATGTCAAGATGATCAATTTGAGGATATTTGGGCATCAAAGCAACCTCTTCTAGTGAAATTTTTGAGATAGGTTCAAATTTGATTGTTTAGAGCCTCGGCTCTATATAAACTTTTCCCTTCTTATTATCTGTGACCTTGATCAGAAGAGAAAAACAGTAGGACAATTAGTCATATGCACGGCATACGAATATTGATGTTTACATGTAGTCTTATTTTTTATTTTATTTTATTTTTTCATATTTTGTATCAGATTGTCGCTCACCTGGTGATCCAAAGTTTGTGGAGGCATTTGGTAAGTACCACATTCAAAATTTCCTGTAATTATTTCAGTTTGGTAAGGTGTCAAGATCTAAACCAAAACTTGCATCTATTTGCAGAGTTGAGCCAAGAGGAAGTTGAGGATGTGCTTTTCAAACAGGTCTGTCGGAATCTCTAAGTAGGCATTATCTTTATGATTTTGAAGTTCAGGGGTTTCTTACCGTCCCTTTTGCATCTGTTCACATTATATTTAAATTTTTAAATTTTCTTATTTGATTATTGACAATTTTTGGCCAATGAACTTGTTATGCTGGATCATCAATATAGTGCTCTAAAATGTCAAAAGAAACAAAATTCCATTCTCATTAATTTCACTCACCTAACATAAAAAACTTACATTAATAGAAATATGGCTCCAAGATAAGTCGCTGTCTGTGAAAACTCCTTGTTTAGCTTTATGTTCCCTTGGAAGTTCCTTGCATGCATGAAGTTACCTAAACCGGTCTAATTGAAATTTCCTATGCGTTGGGTAAAGTCTTAATGGTTTCTTCTTCTTGAGCATGAAGTTTTACTTGTTTTGGATTTTTTTAATATGTGAAGGCTTGGCTCACATACTTTTGGAGAAGAGCTAAAACCCATGGGGTGGAAGAGGATATTGCAGATGATCGACTGCAGTTTTGGATTAGTCGTAGCAGTCAATCACCAACATCCCATGATGCTGTTGATGGTATTTCCCTTAAATCGTATATTCATAGATATTCAAATTGATAATCTCTTAGTTGCATTAAGCTTGTTCTCTCTCTCTCTCTCTCTCTCTCTCTCTCTCTCTCTCTCTCTCTCTCTCTACTGTACACTAACTACTACTACGTCTACTCGTCTCGTTCTCGTACTCTACTACTACGTACTACGTTACGT